GTCTGTTTGGCTGCAAGACAAATTTCAATAAAGTTAAGGTTGAAGTAGAAGAAGAAAGAAAAAAGCTTCTGTAGACAGACATAGAAACCTCTCAGAAAACATTACACATACATAACATAAAATCACACACACACAAACACACAGACACGCTTTATAATATGTATAGAGTTCATACAGGCTTAACCAGCTGAAGACCTAGGCTATAGGAGCTGCTGAACTGTGATCACTTGTTAAGCAAAGATTCACATTTATGCTTTTACGATGTCTTCACCTGAACACAGAAGAGGCTTGTGTCTGTGCAAGAAGATGATATTTAAATTGCAGTTATTATTCCTTCTCCCCCTGCTAGAAGAAACCTGCTACAATAGTACACTTCTTGCTGTTTTTTTTAGGAAATGTGTTTGATAAATGACAGAAAAATACAACCACTTCCACAGCCATTTAAGTTTTTTTTTCAACACTCACTAAGAGTAACCCTAGTTTGAAACAATTAAGGTAATTCTCTGCAAATGGTAGCTGGAATATTAGTCTGAAGGTGTGTTAACTGCATTAGTTAAAGTGCAGAGGAATTTGAAAACGGGGGTTAAACTTTAACTTTGAGGAGTAACTCTGGGTGAACAAGAGCACATGACTCCCTGCTCCTTCCTCATTAGCCCCACTGCCCTTTGGCCCAGAGGCGAGAGGGAAAAATCATCCCCCCGCCTTCTCACAGCACTCGCTCCATCCTCGGGCCTTTGACCTCGAGTGAATGACGGAGCAATTTAAAATACACAGGGAAGTGGAACCTGCAAAAGAAAAACATCTGCTGAGGTGGCTACAGAGCAACACACGGTGTCCAATCAATATTTGTCCTCCTCCCCACCCAGGACCTGCTGGAGATGGTGGGAAACTTCCCATTTGGTGTAGCTTTGTTGTCATTCAAATCAGCTATCTTGTGTTCGCTGTGAACAAGATATCAAACCATTGTTTGTAGAGGAGTCAATAGAACTGTTTACTGTAACGGCAGTGGAGCTTTTTTTCCCATGTGTCCACCGTAAAGATAAGATATATTTTTGAATGTAACCAAGTGGGAGAATAAGCCTTGGCTTTGCTCAGACTCTGATTCAACCCCTTGAACTCTGACGTTAACAATATTCCCTATCTTATTGTTCAGTAGAAAGTGACATAGTTTCCACTCTTATGTTTTACAGTTTTGTGCCTGTTTTTTTCAGATGAAGATGTATCTAACTTTAGGAATAGTTCTTCAGTTCGGTATATACACTTCTTCACTTTGTAGCCGAGAGTTAGATAAACCATTAATTCCAACTGACTGGGTTGTGACCGAAATGTGGGTGGCAGAAGATTATTTGGGTCATAAATAAATTAGCAGAATTTCCTTCTTATGCTTTCTTATTTATAACATATTTAAAATGTGTGCACATATTTTGTCTTATGAAGTGAGTGCACATTGTGAAAAAAACGAGAACCTGTTAACCTTAGTGGCTTTTAATTTGTTTCATTTATAAAGTAAGCTTAAAATATCAATTGCTTTTACTGATGAGAGGAAAACAATGAGACAGCCCGTTACAGTTACTCCTATTAAATGCATTCATTAGGTCTTATTTATAAAGTGTTTTCAATAACACATTCATGAAACAAAGTTGTGATTTATCAAACATATATCTCTTCAAAATGGCTGATTTACCTGTTCAAGAAAATATGACATGATGCAGAAATAGCAGTAAAAATTATCAGGAACAATAATTTATGCACAAATTTGCTCTTCTCACTGTGAATTTGGACACCACAGTTTGTATTGATTTAAACCACCTAGCCATGAGATTACTTTAAAATAAAAAAATAAAAAACTTTTGAAGCAGCAGATCAACATTGATATGACTGTTGTTAGCAAATAGTTGTTTTTCCGCACAGACAACTCTGAATGTGAAAATTTCCAACCACCAACTAGAAAAAGTACAACACCAGTCTCCTGCTTGTAATCCATCTACCCTGACTTCATGAAGAAGTAGTTGTCTGACATCTTTTCTTCCAATATGGGAGTGGGGTAAGAATATTTATATTTGGCTAATGAATTTAATATTTAAATACATTTCCAAGTATAGAAGTGCCGTAAAATAGAACCTATAATTGCATCTGTTACCTCATGCATTGCTTTTCCTCCTCAGTTTTGTTTATATATGCAAAGAGGCTGCACTGCAAAGAGTTGAATTGTATGTACACTTGCCAAGGAAACACATCAGTTTGTCACGGTCAGCCATGTTTTTTGTTAATGTTTGGCGACGTGCACCTGGAACGCTTGAAGGTCTTTAGTCTGAAATTCAGACCTCCGACTTTTGACTGGATGGATGTAAGTAATATTCAGCCTCCTGTTAGTTTTGGTTTGGCTGTTTCAATCTCTTTATGGAGGAATTTCTGGCTCTTTAAATTCTCGACTGTTTACTAGTTAATCTTAAACCTTGAACCTGATGTTTGGTGCTGAGATGGCAGTGTGCAGTCAGTTTATCAGTGATTCAGCTGGAAACTGGGAACTGCAGAGTTACAACTGGGTGATAACTCTCTGCAGCTTTGTCACGTCAAGTGACACCTTTCACATTACCATAGTCAATTATTAATACAAACCTAGAGCAGCATTTGTTTTCACTACATTTGTAGTTGACTCTTACAGTAAGTAATGACTCACCAGGCAGCACATCCTTGTTTACTGTCCCTGAAAGACTGCTGTTGCAAATACTGACCTTCTGTCAACTGTGATGCTATTGTTCCAATATAACACGGTACCATATCAGTTTTAAATATTCAAATGTAGATTTGGCTGCACTTCACTTACACCAAGCAAATCATCATGACTAGTCATTTTCTTTGATTTTTACGGAATGCCAAAACGGTTGTAATTGCTTTTGTGCTTTGTTTTCTTGTCATAATGGAAAGTAATTACACCCATTAAATTCATATTGATAGTTTGAACTGTAATTGTGCAGACAATATGAGTTTTTAACGATCTGTAGGGTTGAAAAGGCTGATTTATATCAAATAGCATTACTTAAAAACCTATTTAGTTAAACATTTTGCTTCAGATGTAAAGTTATTACCATTGACAGGCTGTCAATATGTTGTTAGTGGACAGACCATTTTAAAGATGAACTTGCTTTTAACCAACTAAGAAGCCTAACATTTTCAGACAGGGCATTAACCTAACCCTCTCTGCAGCCACAACATATTTGATTGTGTTCCCAATCACCAAGTTCAATCTCTTTCAAATCTTTCTCCAATCTGTTGCTCCCTGATTTTGCCCTGCTATCGGCCAGACTCTGCCTATAGGTTAACTAAGGTGCTTAGGATGACAGAAAATTAACCTAATCAGCTCAGTGAAGACGACTCAAATGCTTTAACGGGATTAGAAGAAGGCCACTCCCCTTGCCATGTTTCCCCTTTAAACACCTTATTGCTGTAATCTATGGCTCACAAGCTGACGAGCTAACTGACCTCTTCAGCTCATCTTCTCTGTTGTTAGTCTGGACACTGATCTGTGTTGTGTTCACACTTGTTTTTACATGTTTTAGTTTATTTACTACAACTCACATTAAGTTTTCAATTAGGTATACATTTTTATCCACCCCATTTTAATTAATATGTGCAGGTTAAAGGTCCAGTGTGTAACATTTAGGAGGATCTACTAGCTGAAATAGTAAATAATATTAACAAATATGTTATATAAATAAATAGATAAAGATAAAATAAGAATTGTTATGTTTTTGTGTTATGGCTCCAGATAATGTCATTTGGGGTTTTTTGTTTTTTTTGCATTTCCTGGCCACCATAGTTTCCACTTGGAAGTCGAGGGTGTAGCCAGGGAGTTGCAATCTGCATATATATACCGTTAGATGCCACTAAATTCTCCATGCTGGAGTTTTAAATAATCAATCAACACCTCTCAAAAACAGTTTCAACAAAAACTGAACATTACAAACTAGGATTTGTTGCTGGATTGTTTCATTAAGTTTTATTTAATAACTTTTTTCTTACATCAACAAGAGATTCAGAACAAAACTTATCGCTTGATGCTCATTCATTGATTCAAACAACTTTGTTAACCTATAGACAAGCAGGCGTCCAGTCCTTTAATAGGAACTTAAGCATTAAAGTCCCCTTAATTGAACTCAGTTTCACCGTCAACAAGGTTTCACTCTTTATCTGGTGGTTGTGATTGTGAGAAGGCTTGTTGGCCTGAGCTGTTTGCCGTCATTATCTGAGTGGGTGAGCGCACAAAGCGCATGTGATTGGCCGTTTGATTGAGGTCACATCTCTTTCGTGCTTCTCCCTGCCAACAGTACCCCATTCTCCTGACCTCTCCGCGGGCTGTGTGGTGTCCAAAAGCTCAGAAGAGAGGTGTCAGGTCAGCTTGGCAACGTCCCAGAGCACAGAGCAGAGAATAGAGAGATAGAGAGAGGAGGAGGAGATAAGAGGGGATATGAAGTGGTTGTGACAGGTGAGCTAATGGCTTTGAGAAGGAAAGGGAGGGTACAGGCTGTGATCTCTTTATACGGCTTACAGAGGGACAACTTATTAAAATGAAGAACGGATGCAGAGAGTAAATGAGTTGACCTAAAACCCCTAGGTCACCGCCCCCCTTCCTGTGGATGTGTGCGTGTGATTGCGTCCACCCCCACACTGACTGACAGCCTCTGTCTTCTAATAATGGTTTGAGTATTTTTCCCAGGCACTGAAAAACTCCCCTATCCACAGGCCCAAATGCTGGCTGCTACATGTGGGGGTATAAATGTGTCCAGAAATGTGGAGCTTAAATGTTACCAGATGACAGCGTTACAGCCTCTCTAACGTCCAAAAAAAATTACTGTTTGGATACCAAAATCAGTCCGCTCTCATGTGCTTTGTTTGACTTTCTTATCTCACTTATTCATTAGTGCACTTTTAACTTCAATGCATATTTCATCACACACGTATACTGACAACAATTTTATCATGAGCAAGATTAGATTAGACAAGGTTAAAACAAGGTTTTATTAATTCAACAAAGAAATTTAGAAGTATGTTTAAGTAACATTAAACGCTGGAAACCTCCAGCAGTTCAATGAGTTCTATTGGGGGGAATGTTATATATACTCAAATACAACACACTATTTTTAGGTACTTTCTGTATTTCCATTTGACTTTATACTTATACTCCACTACCTTTCAGTGGAAAACATTGTTCTTTTTACACTTACAGCCACATTTACTACTTTACAAATTAAGATTTTACATAAAAAAAAAACAGTATATAAATTAAAAGTTTATTATATAATATATGCACATATATTGAGCCATACGTGATAAAAATACCTTTTCTTTGCATGGGACATTCTGGCATAATGTGGCTTCTTTCATACAAGAGTCACCCAGAGGTTACAACAATCATGTTGTCTTAAAAACCTTTGATAAAGTCAGAAGCTTAACATAGATCTTAGAGTGAGCGAACACAAAATGGAACGATAATTGTATCATCTGCTCTAATGGCAGCTATTACAACAATAGTGATGGTGACCTGGAGGTAGGGGGCGAGCGGCAAGGACAGGCCCTCTGAGGTGACCTCTGCCCGGGAAAGGGCAAGCTCAGGCAACAGTCAGGGCGTCAGGGGCTCGCCACCTCGTCTGGCACTCTGAACTCTCCATTCACAGGCTAACACAACAGCAAGGCATCGCTGTGACCCTGTGGGTGTGACACTCAACCTTTGCCTTAACCTCCTGACCGCTGGTCACAGCTGCAGCTGACCGGCTCGGGTAGGTCAGGGCACGGGGTCGGCTGGAGGAGGGAGAAGTGATAGGGATGATTGAGAGATGAGTGAGGAGAGAAGATGGAGGGAGAGGAAATGGAGGATGGAGGCAGGGAAATGGGGGTATGAGTGAGAGGTAAAGAGCAATGGATGGGTATGAAGAGAGGTAAGAGTAAGCTAGGTTTTTTTAAAAGATTGGTACACCCAAATTACAAACATTTTATTTAAGCAACAAATCCAATGAAATGACCAAAACCAAAAATGTGTTTATGCCTTAATACTTTCTTTGAATACTGTAATCCAATGATTTAAATAATATAATTTTTTTCATGTTAATGGTCCACTTTTTCCTAATTTCTGTCAAAAATGTTTCCTTGCACTTATTTTACACATCACAGTCTGTTCCGAGGTCTCGGCGAGTAATTCTGCATATGTGAAGCTGTATGAAGCATTTTGTGGATCCGGAGGGAGCTGTATGTAATAAATTACCTCAAGTGATTTCAGTGTTACCACATCCCTGCAGCTCGCTCCTCATCTCTGCTTGAGGCTACCTGTGGCCTCCCCTGAATCTGTGTAAATGCTTCTGAATTTGGTGTCAAATGCTGTCAAATTTATCACATTTATTTAGGGTTAGGGTTAGGTTAATTTTAAATATAATTAGCACATAATTTATCGACCTGTTGGCACATTTTAGACTTGAAGTAAGTGATAGGATTCATAAAAAAAGAGATTTTCATTTTAAATGCCATCTATACTTTAATTCAGTGCTTTACTAATGTGCCACAATATTGTTTGCATAACGCCACCGTGTATTTAGCAGGTTTTGACAAGGAAGAAGAAGAGAAATGTGTAGAATAAAAATCTGTTGTTGATCTGTTTTTTTAAAGTCTGACAGTGTAAGACTGTAGGAATCTTTTGACTATGAATTTCAATATTGCCAGGTATCTGTCACTGTTGCCTCAGTACATCACAACACAGTTGCAAATCCCATCATGTCACATGAGTATGTTTGTTGTGGCTCTCGTGCCCATCCATTGCTACTGAAGTTGTAAATCTTTAAAAACAAGTTTTAAATATATGAATAAATACAAATATATAAACAATACTAAACCAGCTTTGTCGTGTAGTTTATAGACCTGAAATAAAATCACATTTTGAGCATGTTGGTTTAAAAGAAGTGGAAATAGTGAAAGGCAGAGAGAGAATGATGAAGAGCACTATGAAAGTGCTAAGAAGACAAATGGGCTGGTCGTACACTTTGTGTGCACATCATGTGTGCCATTGTCCTGGCTCCCATCCCCCTCCTCGGAGCTTTGTCCAGACAACACGGCCAGCCGGGAGCGGTTTCATAGTCAGTTTTTACGGGAAAAAGGACATGTGCGCTTTCGAGGTCAGTCCCGAGGTCCTCAGTGGGGTCAGTCCTTGAATCAGTCTTACACATTCATGACTGCATGACAGCTGTTTCTCTGAAATAAGGCATGCATCTTGTGATGTGTGACTCCTGTTAGACAAGTTAAGCCTTGGAATCCTGTTAGGTTTATTGATAACTCTCACACAGGGTTGAAAAGACAGAACTGAGGGTACTTTCCATGTTCTACTGCTCTACATACTCTATATTTACCTCTAAAGGACCAATGAATGCCTGAGTGGACGGCTGTAGATGTCAGTGATGGGTTGACAGATATATAGCTGAAAAACAGATGGATGAATAAGTACGTATCTCTTTTCAAGGACAGAAAAATAAGACACTTTAGAACATATTGTAATCTCAAGACAAAGAGTCTACAGACCTGCTAGTGGTGAGGCTGTAGGCTTACTTTGGCACAGCGGTGCTTTGAACTAAATGTCGGCATGCATATAAATGCTGTTGATAAGGAGGTCTACAATGTTCACTATCTTAATTTACTATTTAAACATAGTAACATTTGCTACACATAGTAGGCTACAGTTGAGGCTTATGGGAATGTCATTATATAAACCAAAGAACTGGACAAATTGAAAAATCTGGTGTATTCAATAGACTATGGATATCTGTACTTAATTTCATGGCAATCCATTCAATGGCTGATGATGATATTTCAATCCCAGCCAAAGTGGTGGACCACATATATGTAATCATACAGGCTTTTATCTGTACGGTGCAATAATTTCACAAACTATAACAAATACATAGGAGCGACTTGATTTCAGCAGGACTGTAGATTGTAGATGATACATTTGACAGGCTGAGGATATAAAGGATCACAGAACGGTCTCTTCCCTCCTCCACTCCAAGGCCTCTCCTGCAGTTTTTGGTGGTCCACTCTGGTGGTTGTGACTCTCCATCATCGCCGCCACCTTCTGCTCCAGCCTCCACGCCTGCTCGCGGTACTTCCTGCGAATCTGTCGGTACGAACTCAAGGCTTTACTGGAATGAAAGGAGAGATACAGTTCACTACACTGGCATTAACAATGATACTACAGAACTAGTACTACTAGTTATCTTTGGTTGCAGGAAGATGATGATGAACAAAGACATGCAGTCTATTAAATACCTTCACTTACCTGTGAGCTTGTGTGAGCCGAGCAATCTGCTCTCCGTTGTCCCTCCTCTGGGAGTTGCTGTCTGACAGAGCTGTGTTTAGTGAGTCGTGGACTAAAGCCAGTCTCTTCTTCAAGGCTTGTTCCCTGAAAAGAAAAACAGTAGGATAATTTGAAACATAGGAGGAAGTATTAAGTCTTTACTTAAAAAAATACTAATACAACACTACAAATACTTGTTTACAAGTAAAAAAAAGTACCCAAAGTATTACTCGAGAAATGGCCACTGTGACTGTTATTATCATATATAGTTATATATTATTATATCAATATTTTAATATTACTAATTCATAAATATAAAATGTTGTACAGGACTGCAACTATTGATTATTTTCATTATGAATTACTCTGCTGATTATATTTTCAAGTGATCAATTGATTGTTATTGTCATTGGTATGTATTGCTATAGCAGGTTTAATTAAAGTACTTTAGTAAATGTAGTTAGAAACTTTACACCACTGAAACTGAAGAGAGGAACATCATGTCAGTCGCTTCATTGTGCTCACGGCATTGAAGATGTTTTCTCTCAGAAACTCAAGAATCATGACTTTATGATATGATTGACTTTAAAGTGAATGATCTGTAAAGTGTGAACAGCTGCTTTATTTAGAGGTATTCACTACATGGAGTCAGAGGAGATAAAGGATGCTCTCTGAAGCACCTGATGGAAAGAACTAGTCTTTATGCTAGAACCCCTTTATGTCCAAAGTCTGCATTTGTGCTAATAGTGTTCCTAAGCAACAGATAAAACCAGGCAACAGACGTCTGAATGATTCATTTTTTACACTGACTGCATTCATCAGGTACCTGTGAAGGTCTTGGAATACCCAGGTTTCTCAAGTTACGTTTATTAATTTACCAGGTTTCCTTGTCAAGTCACTTTAAAAATAGTCAAAAGCCATATAGTCAATATATACAAAAGCCGTTTAATAGGTGTTTTTATTGATAATATTTTAAAATAAGAGGGCATAGGTTTTTTCACTCATTTTTTTGCAGTGTTAGTGCTTTAAATGTTGGACTATAGAGAAATTACATTGTCTCACCTCTGCAGGATGGCCTGCAGCTCTTTCATAATGGGTCTGGTTCGAGGACTGCTGATGTCTCCATCAATACCCAGTTTAGCTGCATTTTCATAGAGCCTCTGAAACATAACATTAAATTAGGATTATGTTTAAATCTCAAACCCCCTCCTTTTCCATTCAGCTCTTCACAGTTATACAAAGATATCTAAAAGCAATGATTCCCAACCTGTTCAGCTTGTGATCATCTAAAGTAAAGCAGTGTTGCAGTCCAACAAAAGACTGGTTTCTTCTCACAAATAGTTTTAATTTGAATGGATTTGAGAGGCCTAAAGGGGTAAAAGCAGCATCCAAAATGAACACCCGCCAACACCCCCAATTTGGGGTCACAGTGTAGGGCCGAGTTTACATCACTGTGTTTTTTATGTGTACTGACTGAGAGTCACTAGCAGTTCACTAATATTTAGCACTTTCTACACAATGTCTGCCGTAAGAAACATCTGTGTTACATGTTATTAGAGATGTGGCGACACATTCCAGTGATAAGCTACCAAAAAGAAAACAGGAAGACGAAAAGAAAAGTCACTGAGGTCTCAGTTTATGCGAGAAGTGGTGTCCGAAAGACTTATAGGAGTCCTAAGACCCTGGTTTAAATAAGAAGCTCAAAATGTACAGAAAGGAAACTTGAGCTAATTATGTTTAGTCAAATAATGCATGATGCCAAAGCAAAAGATTAGTGAAAAGTTTGAAAAAAATCTGCTTTTTGGACCAGAAATAGTTTTTTTCTTCTTCTTATTTCCCATCTTGTTAATCACCTTGAGACTTGAGATGTATCTATCATTAAGCCCTAGGTCAGGAGCCACTGATCTAAAGGCTGGGAGAGGACAGTGCAGAAAAGAATTACTCTCATTATGCTGTAATCAGAAGCCATTTTGCTTTTGGTAGAATAGTTAACAGGTAAAAAAGTCTTTAAGGTCAGTGTGACCTTGTGCAGTCAGACAAGATCTTCTTATTGTTCTTCTGAACCATTGTAAACAAAAGAAGACAGTTTCAGAGGGACATTTTAACCCCACTGTTTCTGGTGCTTTGTGCCACAGTAATAGCTAATGTGTTAACCTAAAATGTCTGTTCAGTTCTTTCTCATTTGACAATGACACATGAGGTGTGTGGTGCAGTATGAAATCTGTTCTGGGGCGACAGGACAGCCCAGCAGAAGACCTTGTAGAACCAAAATATCCTTCTTGGCCTGAAGGGATTCTGCTTTGGTAGATGTGTGATTTCCCATGTGGGACACCCATATTTGAATCGGGTCTGCCACAATAGACCAACGTCCTGCTCCCTCTTGCTCATTTCACCTTGACTTTGTATTATTTGAAAATTAAAAAAAAAAAAAAAAAGGTCTCTGTTGCTGATGTAGGAGTCTGTCGTACCTGTTGTTCAGTCTTACGATCCTCCAGCTCCTCTCTGAGGCTTTCTGGAATGAAAACTCCAGCTGCTTCCTGGGCCTTCTGGGCCATTAAACTCCACTCCAGACATCTCAGCTCTTTCTCCTTGAGGCGGATTAGAGCTCGCAGATCTGACATCTCCTCCTGAACATAAAGAGTTAAACCATAAACCATAGTATATAAAGAGCTCAACCCAGATACTGTAAAGCTGTGGTGGAAGACATTTTATCACTAAACTAACAGGTTTTACTTCCACTTTTGAGCTTTTATGGGATGTTAAAACCCATATGGTTAGAATTTTTACATGATTTCTGACTTTGGTGACTCATGTCATATCTTGTTTGTTTAATCAAAAACAAGTTGTGGTTTTACAGTGAGTTATGTACAAGTCTATTTCTTGGAACCAATTCCTAGAATCTTGCCGGCTGACTGGCAACCTTGCAATGACAACAATTTGTTTTTCTTTTAAGATTTCCTTTTTGGCATTTTCACCTTTATTGGACAGGAAGGAATAGAAAGAGAGAGGGGAATGACATGCAACAGAGCTTCCCAGCTGGAATCAAACTGTGGAAGTATGCCCACACTTCAGTTTGCAAACAATTTAAACTAATCTGTTTCTGTTCTTCATTTTCAAAATGTCAAACTATTCCTTTAGTTAATTATTTGCCAGTTTCAGGTGATGAAGACCTGCCAGCAGTGTCTCACACACATACTGTATGTACACAAACACTGTGTTTTGTATAGTGTAAACTGTAATGCAATTCACCAAAAAACAACAATGATATTAGGATAAAAAGTTACATTAGTACATTTAGGATCTTGATCTTTTTATATATATATATATATATATATATATATAATAAATTAAGCTCAACAGCTCCTACCCTGACAGAGATGAGTTCATAGAAGAGGGAAGCTTTCTCTTTCTTGGTATCAGGAGGTTTGGCATTATCTTTAGTCACATGTCCTCCTCTTGATCCAGCCGGGTGACCAGTCTCTGGGCTCATTTTGCCCTCAACTCCTGAACTCGGTTTAGGTAGACAAATAGCTGCCCGGTCCTTCTTCAGGCGCTCAATTTGCTGACGAAGCGCAGCCTCTCGCTCCACCAGCTCAGAGGTCCTGTGGGGTAAGAGGTAGTGAGTCACCTGGCAAGAACTTGGTCCAAGAAATGGCATTTTTTTAAATTCAAATGCTCTTCACAAGTCATCCCTGACGGCTTTTGAAACAATTAGTCAGTAGCATGTAGATCTTTGTTGTTGGCAGGATGAGATATGCAATATTTGTCGATTTCTATTATTTTTGTTTGTAACTTCAGTCTATCAGTCTGATCTACAGTCACTAGTGACACATGTTTTCCTTTATCCCCATGAATGTACAAAGAATACTTTAAAACGTCACCTTTGCCTTGTGTGACTCTGTGTTTCCGTTGGCTCTGTGGCACCTGCTGTTGAGAAGGAGGTGGACAGCTCCTCAGTTCCCATTTTTCTGAGCTGAGCTGATGGACTGTCGGGCTGCTGCCTGTCAACGACTGCCTCTGATGAGAGGAAAAAACTATGAGCCTGAATGTATATTTGTGTGTGTGTGAATGACATGTATAGCTACTGTATATGTAAGTGAATGTGTGCACTGAGTTGTAAGCAGTATTAAAACATGGTATTCAAACACCTGCTAAGTCTGTCTGCAGAGGAATGCTTTGCTGCTTCCTGGCGTCATAAAGTGACAGCAGCTCGCTGTAGGCCTCTTCGCACTCCTCACTGTCAATCACAACCACAAAGACAAAATATGACCTCACTAGATGAGAAGAACCTAAATGAATGCTGTTAGATTGCTGACCTGTGCACATTCATTATTTTGACACATACCAAAGAACGTTACTGACAATATGTATGTGTGCAGACAGGTCTTTGTACTTGTGTGTCAGGTGTGTTTTATGTGTGTACCAGTATCTGAGAGCCATCTGCAGGGCAGAGCAGTCAGACTCTAGTCTGTTTAGTGTAATACTGATCTGTTCGGACTCTCCCTTTCTTCGCTCCAGAGCTGCAGTCAGCCATTCATTTCTGGCCTTCAGCCTCTCAATGCACCTGAGATAATGAGGGAGAGGATGAGGAGGGTTAAGAGCAAGAGCTGGAGGGAACACCTTTGTTTCAGTATCAGAGATTACATTTCAAATAACTTGAATTGGTCAAAATATAAACAAAATATATAAAAGACAGTTACTTTTGCCATTTATTCATGACATGATTCTTTATAAAGTCACTTGGGCTAACTAGCTAACCTATGATAAGATACGATAGAACCTTAAGTGTTACAGGGGAAATTGTTGCAGGAAACAGTGCAAATGTAAACAAAATATATATTAAAAAAAGCTTAATAATCAATAAGGTGCAAACCAAATGTACACAATGCCAGAAATGTAAACAGGTCAATGATATGAATCATAAATATAAACTGGTTAACAGTATGTTTCAAATAGCAGTAAAGCAGCCAAAGCAGTAGTAATGGTAAAAATAAACATGTTAATAACTTAAGAGTTGGCTGAAGAAACCTGTATTTACATAATTCACAATCCTATTCACATGCTCTACACAGTGTGTGAGTGTCTTGTCTGTTTGTCTTTGTCTCGATCCGTCAATAAACCTGAGCCAGTTATTCAAGGAAATCTATCTTTGCACACCTGTATAGACATGACAATGAGTAATATTAATTTTTGACTTTAAGTCAAAATGCATAATTAATGCTATAATTAATTAAATAATGGTTATTTAACCAAAAAATATCTATTAGATTATTGTAATATAAGTGTTGACAGTGTGCTGTACAGTAGTATGGGCTGATATTTGTGTCAGTAGAAACTGAATTTGAATAATTTAGAGCTGAGCTGCTTTTTATTACGTTGAAAGGACCAGAGATGCTCCTCAGTCTCACCTGTTTAGTCGTTCTGTCTCTGACTCCAGGCTGATGGGGCTAGAACAAGGACTGCATGAGTTAACTGAGCCCAGTGGAGAACCGTCCCCACCCACAGAGAGAGGTGTCACAGTTCTGGCTGTTCTTCTGTGGAGTAAAGGTGAACCAGGGAAGGGAGGAGAGGCCCAGTCTGGACTGAGAGCCCCAGAAGGGGGCCGGTAGGAAGGAGAGCAACTGCCTAACTTCCAGGCCTTATGGAGAGCAACCAGCTGAAAGACAAGAGAAGATTTGTGTTGAATTACTCATTTTGTATAATATTTAGTCCTCTAAATTAAATATGTTCATTCCAGCTAACTAAATACAATACCAAATGTATCGCCATGGTCTGATAACATGCAGAATTTACCACATTGGTATGTATTATTAACATCATTATGGCTCAAACCTTCTTGCCACCAATAAACAAATGCAAGACATTACTTACATTACAACTGAATTATTGTAAAATCTAGGCTTTAGCTCCATAATGTTGTCACTGAGGCATCTCAGAAGGATTTGTCTTCTGGAAATGTACTCACTCCTCTTAAATTGATTCATATTTTTACATTTCCCCCCCCCAAAAAAACGAAAGCAGAGCAACTCCTACCTTGTTCTTCTCCTCTTCCGTCGGGCTCATGGTGCTCTGTTCACGCTCCGGCTCCTCCTGGTGACTCTGCAATGTGCTTTTGAGAGCAGGGTCACGCTTCTCCACATCCAGCATGTCCTCCTGATGCTGGTCCTTTGGCAGGCCTGATGGGCATGAAATCCCAAACTCTCTTTCCATGTCCTCCAATATCTGCAACCAGTGAGCCAGAATTACTAATGTGGCTGATGGAAGTCTAAAGATAGTCTGAACAATGACATATTTTGTCCTAAATTGATTCATTAAAATACTGACAGACACAGCGATGACCTCTTTATGACATTTTTGAGATTTATAGATTAGCTAAAACTATTGATGTACTATCAGTAAATTTTACCTAACATTAGTTTTCTTAGGATTTTACAGTTGTTATAACAAAAAATAAAACACATAAAATAATCATGTGAATTTGTTACAGTTTTAATACCTGAGTGGCTTTGACCCAGCTCTCCTGGGCCGCTCTCAGATGCTCTTGGTGCTTGTCCTGGTCAGAAGCTGTGATGGGGGCAGCCCAGGACCTTTTAGAGCTGATGGAGTCCTCCACTGATGATAAAACCTCTTGGAGTTTAGTCCAGACTACGCCACTACCCCCTGGTGGATGAAAAGTAGAGGTGCAATTAATCATATTAGATGGCGTGAGGGGCAGTTTTATATTCAACCAGACAAGAAGGGTATAGCTTGCTTTATCCAAAATAACTTGCAGTCTTTTACAGACCAGAGTGAATATTTTAAAATAATACATCTGTTGTTCTTTTGGACACAGAATTTCTTGTTGTCCACACACAGTACAGTTCTGCTTAATAAAGAAAAGGTTATGCTGTGTCTGTGCCAACCTCGGCCAGTCACTGCAGGTTCAGATGTGAGAGCAGAGGCAGTGCTCCTCTCTGGGCTGCTTCTGGCCAGCCTGTGGGACAGAAGGTCTGGAACCAGAGGTCTGGATGGTCCTGGTGGTCTCAGGTTCCCTGATTCACTAATGAATAGAGCAGAATTATCATTTTGCTACTAAATAGTAGTGTGTGTATTTTGAGAGTTACAAGCAAGCAAGACCAATATCTAATTTATATTCATGGGAAAATGTGTAAGTACAACAATGGCTTCATCAAAATATTTATTTTAAAGTTAAACTAAATCCATTAATTCAGATTAACTTTTTGATATTTTTCTGGTGATATTTACTTTATTATCACTAACGTTACCTTGGTGCCTTCAATGACCCCATCTTCTTGTTCAATTCAGCAATGATGCTGAGCAGCGTGCCCACCTCAGCCTCACACTGAGCCAGTTCTTCTGGTGAAGGCTCGAGGTTTGCTGTGAGGTCAGAGCCCTCAGGGTCAAGGGTCAAACGGTCGATTGGTGTCATCACCTCCCTGTCACACCCTGATCCAGCATCCAGGCTGTCACATCGGACCAGGCTGGAATCCTGCAGAAACATGAAGCTGTATTAGGAAATTAACTTGGTTGGCCTCATTTAAGTCATTATTTTAGCTTTCGGTCCTTCAGTACTACTTATATACACGTGTATATGAATATAATACACATAATATGTATGTTGTTGCTGCCTGAATAATCATCATCCAGTGAAGAATGCTTATAATTAACTACAATAATTCCTCCATTAAAAAATCTGTTATGGTCTTGAACCAGACATTGTTGCGGCACTATTTAGCAGCTATTGTTTTAAGCAGCGGAAAAGGAGGAAACTAAAACATCCTGAAATCCAACTTCCTGCCTAGCAAATATTTGTGGGCCAAACTATCTTTTGTTTTGCACAAAGAATGTCGGCTAAATGCCTAAAACATGAAATTAGAACAAAGCGTCACTCATTTATTCTCCTACAAAGTGCATGTGACGCCTAGAAATATGCCAAGACGATACAATTTACAACAGCTATCTTTTTGATTTAACATATATTAGTTAGTAATACATCCACTGATCACCTATTACTATTCACAGAAAGGCTATCCGAGCACACACTGGGCAAAAAGCATTAAATATATTGGATAGTTCACTAGACAAACACTCACATTTACAACTTCTAGCAAAGTCTCAAATTATTTGAATATGTGAATGTGGGAGTGATACATCTCTGATAATTATAGAATTTGTAAACATGTAAAGCCACAAATCGTACAACAACAAGTATGATAAGCGACGTATTTCCAAGACAAACACTGAAAAACTTTAATCATAACTTACCTCCATAGTTCTTGATCCTGACGTCTGCAGCAGTAGTTGAGGCTGTTCACTGCCTGCATTTAAACATCTGACAAAATTAGAGAATGTTTTGTTCAGTCCTGTTATTTCTGTCTTGTTATATTTTCCAGTAGTTCATCAGTCAGCTTTCTGCATGTCTGCCCAACACTGTTAAGTGTGATGAATGAAGTAAGTGGAAACACTCAGAAAGTCATCCCCACCCATTCCTCGTCACTTTGTGTCCTTTCCTGTTTTGTCCACACTTAGCTCCCATGTCTTTTTTTAATAGTAGACTGTGAGTAAACTCTAGGCACATACTGTAGCTGCTCTAAGTACTAAGGTATTATGTAATAAGAAAAATGCATGAAGTTATAATCAATTTGGACCATGACACTGACTTGCTAAAGGGTGTTTTTTTCTCTCTCTGTTTACTGAAAAGACCATTTCTGCTGTATTAATTTACCTCAAGCGCCAGACCTTGCAGAATTGTGTAGTTTCCTGTTTTTTGCTGTTTTCTTTTACTTTAGGGATGAGTTTTTTAATCTAGTGCTACATCACATATTTTTTTCACCCTGGTAAGAGTTTCTAAAAGAAAGTACTATATCTAATCTAATATATCTAAAGTCTAAAATATCTGTATCTAATATCTAGGCTACTGCTTGACGATGTGTAAATAAATCACTTTTATGGGGCTAAATCACAAAATAAATTCACATTAATTGAGGATTTTATTGTTTTATTAATTATTTTCATGTTTATTCATTCCTGCCATTACAACAGCTTTTACAACTGCAACTACCACTAAAACAAACCAAACTGTAGTGGTAGGTAGAAGAACAAAAAAAGAAAGTAAAAAGTAAGCTTCTCATTAAACTTCATTTCCCATAATGCTCTGACCCTTCACTCTTCCGGATTGGATCATTTCCTGTAAGGAAGTGTGTCCGATCAAAACAAATGGTCGCTCGTCGTTGAAATATTTTGCAACTTTCAATGAGTTTAATTTTATTTTAAACCCACAACTTTCGCAATTACTCATCAGGTAAGTCTGCTTTTTAACTTTAAACATTTAATACGTTTCGAGTTGTTTTTATTTCCTCTATTGTCTTCTGAAAGCTAATGCTAACAGCTCCCATTGCCATTGCGCTGTCATTAAACATCATCCTCACTGTGTTAGCTCCGTGGACTCACTGTCTGGCTTTCTGCACGCATTAATAGATGTAGTTCTAACTAAACCATTCATGCTGTAAAGCTAAAACACCTCAGTTTTGTTATTAGTTTTGTTATAGCTACATGCTGCACTTTGTGTTCATACTGAGAGAATCGCAGCTCAATTGTGCAGCTTCGTTTATTGTATAAAGGGCATGAAAGTTAGTGTACTTTATTAGTTAGTGTAGATGATGGGTTTTGATGGGGGTATTTCTGAGCATCATATAGCTTTTCTTGTAGGATCTGTGTTGAAATTGAATGAAAAGTAGCTCTTGTTTAGAGGCAGGTAGACATTTATTTCATATTTAATATCAGTGAAAGCCAACCACAGCTAAATATAAAGGAAATTCTGGTAAAAAAACTGGTTAAGAGTGTCTCTTCATGCGTAAACTAACTTGCCACATTCATCATCTCCACTTCCTTAGCAACCTGTGTATCCATGGAGACACCAGAGCCAGGCCCAGCAGATGGAGAGGAGCGTCTGGTGGACCTGCGACCTCGAACACGCTCCAACCCTGAAGGTGCTGAGGACCGTCGCAGCAGCACGGGCAGCCTCGGAGGAAACAGTAACCCCAACATATCTCAGCCTGCCGTGGGAAGCCGTGTCGAGGGGGAGGGCGAGGCCTCGACCAGCGACAGTCCTCCCAGTTCCACCACCACTACAGTCTCGACAGCCGCAGCTCAGACTGTAGCCCCTGCTGCAGTAGCATCAGCAGCGGCTGCAGCGAGCGCCGCGGTGCCACTGTCCACTGCTGCTGTTGCGGCCAAAGAGAGGCCGAAGCCCACACAGCAGCAGCCCACGTTGACAGCCTCCGTGCCTCCACCAGCAGAGTACCAGCTCAGAGTTCCCCGTGTCAACTGTCCAGAGAAAGTGGTAGGTCCACATTACAGTTCTGATTCATGTTTCACAGGAAGATGAAGACTTACAGTCACCGTAAGGATTTTACTAACTGTTGTTGTCTTCAGATCATCTGCTTGGACCTTTCTGAAGAGATGTCTTTGCCAAAGTTGGAGTCCTTTAATGGGTAAGCTACAGTAAAGTAAACCTTTATTCCCCAGTGCAGGTGTTTTTAATTATCATCACTGCCTAATTTGGCTGTTTATCCATTTAGGTCTAAAACAAATGCCCTGAACATATGCCAGAAGATGATTGAGATGTTTGTCAGAACTAAACACAAGATCGACAAACGGCACGAGTTTGCCTTGGTAGTAGTCAATGATGACGCTCTGTGGGTGAGTATATGAATATATTAATCTGCTCCAAAGGTTACGTGCAGTCCCTGTGCAAAGAATCTATGCAACATGTCTCCTATTCCCTACAATAGTTTTCTTTTCCCCCTTCTTATGTATATATGTGTGTGCCTCAGTTGTCAGGCTTCACCTCTGACCCCAGGGAGCTGTGCAGCTGTCTGTATGACCTTGAGACCAATGTGTGCGAGTCCTTCAGTATCCTTTCATTCAAACTCTTAAACGATGAAGATTTAAAAATACGTAGGATAATAAAGAGTTTTAGAAGTTTAATCCTTAACCATTCTCTGTAGACCTGGAAGATCTTCTTAATGTAATGTAAGTACTCTCTGACTATAAACCTTCTCTTAAAATACATGAAACTTTACATAGAAGTGTTTTCTGAAAGTCATCTCTTCCTGTTGTCTTCGTAGTCGTCAGAAGATCGAGCTCCCGTCGATGGAGAACGTTCAGACCATCCCTCCTCCATTTGTGGTGCGGACTGTGCTCATCTACAGCCGTCACACAGGACAGCTTCAGTTCAACCCTTCTGAGGCTGTCGGTGTAAGTATGAAAACTGCTGACGTAGCCCCTTTTTAATGTGTTTTTAATGTGAATTAGATTTCATGCCTCCACACTGGCGGCAGCTGTGGCCGGAGGCATAAAAATCTGTCTCATTCTTGTGAACGCAATATCTCAGGAACGCCTCGAGGGAATTTGTTCATATTTTGCACAAAGGTCCACTAGGCCTCAAGGATGAACTGATTATATTTTGGTGGTCAGTTCAAGGGCTTTAAAGACTTACAAAAATAAGTTTTTGGCCATAAATCAAGAATTAATTACCAAAGGATTTCCAAAAGGTCAACGGTCAACTTTTTTTGGACCATTATTTGACACCATAACTCAGGAACAGAAGGGGAGATTGTGACCATATATCACGGTTACACTGGATAGGTAACACTTTTAAGTCAAAGGTCATTGTGACCTCAAAATAGGTTTTTAGCCATAATTTAAGAATTAATTGGCCAATTATACATTTAACACACATGTAGATTGGGCAACAATAACTACCACAGTAAAGACTGAAGATAATTTTTTGCATCTCATCCATTCTGCATTTTCCCTCATTCTGAAGAATCACATAACTGAAAACTGGAGCAGGCCTAGCTCATCGTGATCGAGTGAGTGAGTGAGGTTTACCCACAGCTCATAGTCAAGTCCATTTAGACTAAAAATACATAATAAATACTTTTTATTCTATTCCCTCCATGTATTCACCACATATATTAGATGGCTCTGGACAGACATGGATGTAAACTGCCACTCAACATGTGGTAATTTTAGTTTTTCTCTGAGTATGTTGACTGCTTTGAGAAGTGCGCCAACTTTACATCGAAGTGAAAGTCCTGCTTGTTCTTGTGTTCCGCCACAGAAAATGCTGCAGTCTCCATATTTTTTCTTCGATGTGGTCTACCTACACAACGGGGTGGAGGAGCAGGGAGACGAGACCAGCTGGAGGGTGAGTGAATAAGCTGATAAAAAGACAGCGATCAGTTCTGATTTGTTTATTTGTTTGGTGCAGTGGATCATTAGTGTACTTCAGATGTACAGAAAAACGTAAGTATATAGTTTTTGTATTCTGTCTGATCCATAGAGCAATGCTGAGCTGTGTTATGATATATAGGCATGTAATAACTGATTTTGTGATTTTGAAGCATGATGAGCTGTGGCTGCTCGGGCACGAGTCTGTATCATTACAGCTAGATAGATAATTAGTGGAGCTCGTAAACAGACTGTAGCTGGGATTGTGACTATAGTCATGGGATGACAGAGCTTTGGCCGTTGCTGTCACTGTGATTCTGGCTGGCTCTGCTCTGGTTCTGATTATGGCTTTGACACATATAATGGGTGTATCACTAACTACATACAGGGGTTGTGTGTGTCCAGTGAATTGTGTGTGTCCAGTGAATTGACATGGTTGTGCTGGCTGAGCGATGTATTGATGTTGCTGAACTCTTGTAGTGAATTGGTAGCACATCTGTCGTATCTAATAAAAGCAATCCTGTGTGTGTTAACAAGGGTTTCTTGGCTGATATTAATAGGAACATTAAAGAGTAGTCACAGTACAACTATTGTACCCATATCCGTAGCATCATCGATTCAACCACACATGCAGCCGTAGTCGAGCAATAACCATATCCAGAGCCACAGCTACAACCAGCTGCAGCTGTGCCTGTGGTTGTATACTGTCAGAGCTCAGCGTTTTGAACTGACATCCAGAATATTTAAACTGGCAGTATGTTATAACTGGACTAGACCAACACACTAACTGTTCCTGTGCATCGGGGGCACTAGGGATGTAACGATATGCAATTAACAATATGATTTTGTCACTGATTTCTTTAACAAAATGAGATTGAAAACAAATTATAACTGAGAAAGATTTTTTACAAAATATATTTTCTTTATCAACTATAGGATAATTGTATTATTTCTGTGGTATAAACTGTGCAATGCAGATTTCTTTTTCTTTGTAAGAGGGAAACTGAAGTCTTTTTCACCTTGATACCATGATTGATATCACAATTCATTATTAATTTCACCACATCTTTGTATCACAATTTACATGTCTTGCAATATATTTTTACATATAAAAAACAAAAAGGTAGTTCAGTGAATTGATTTAAGTACTTCTGTTCATCTAACTAGACCTAAAGAGTGTGGAGGGATGTTGTGAAAATATAACAGCTTTGAACATGATGGTATAGTCTGAATCTTTCTCCACATGCTTTATTTCAACTGTATATTTTCTGTCTCCAGGACAACTACACCTCTTTCTGCAACCTGGACTCAAAGGGCATGTGCTATCGCTTTGAGGTTTCCCTGAGTGGACCTGCCATCGAGCTGCACAACTGCATGGCCAAACTTCTGGCTCACCCTTTACAAAGACCTTTCCAGAGCCATGCCTCTTACAGCCTTCTGGAGGGGGAAGACCCCCAAGACATTGAGGCAACAGTTTAAAACAGCACACACTCATGAAGCCTCTCTTTCTCTGAGAAGTTCACACACTGTCACAAAAGAGCAAGTACACCTTTAGTACTGAGGTTTTTTCCCCCATTAACTGCTGTAGAGCAATAATTCTTATGAATATAAAAATAACAGACATAGTTATAAAGAAAGAGGGTGTTTCAGAAGGTTACTGTTAACTCAGAACATATTTCCAGAAGAGGATGAATAAGTTGCAAATTTCTCTAAGCTGGGAAGTAATAAAATGTTCTATGTAAAGCTGCTGGTCTCCTGGGGTTGAAGTGGATGTCAGAGTCCAGGAACAGGACACAAGTAGAAAGAGAAGATAAATAATTTTAAAAAGTGAGACGCAATGGTTAAAGCATCAGGATTAGTTAAACTAACTCCCTCATCATTTGTTTTTTCTTTCAAATCTGTCTGTAAGTCTTATTGGGTGAAATCAATGCAAACCTGTGGCAGTTTTTTTTTTTTGTTGAGACTTATGAACTGTAATACAATGGCACAACTTCTGTAACATTGCCTTCCCTTTTAGTTGGTAATTTTCACCTTTTGTTGCCTGTTTTTAATGTATTTTCTATTTTGTAAATGTTTTTTTCCAATCATTTGTTCATTTGTCACTCTTGTGTGTTACACAGACAATGAAAGAATGTATAGTAAAGTAGAAGTGGCGACTCTTTTGATGGATTGATTGTGAAAAATGCCCCTCATACTGCCAGTCTAACTGACACTGTACAGATGAGCTTTTTAAAGCTTATTTCTGGATATTAAAAACAAAAGGCATGTTTAATCATACTTTTCATGTTCACACATGCTTTCTGCGTTATTGTCAGGAGAGGGCAGCATATCCCCTCTAGAGATAACTGAATTCAAACATTATCTCAAAAAGGTCCACGAGGGTAAAGTCTAATTTCTTTATAGGTTTCTATGTTCTAAAGAGTCATTTTTGGTATTTTTTTTCTGCTTTGATCAGCTGTCAGTTTTGCTAAATTTTTCTGCTTAAATCTCCAGACATCTTTATTGTCAAGCTTTATAATCAGCATCACTAATTTCTGGATCTACAGACCTAAATGAGAGCTTGATTAAGCAGTTATTGCAGCTACCATTCAAAATCTTATCTGTTATCCACTATTGGCATGATTACTCCAGCGGTAAAAATATGTTTTCCTTTATGCCCTAAAGGTGTCTGGTCAGTTATCTTAAGAGAGCTTTTTATCTCGATCTTTAACCATTTAGTTTCCTGTTTTTGTTCAGAAGTTGATACAATGTCTGTCCTGACAGTCACTCATTTTCTGTCACTCTAACATGCCTTCATAAATTAGTTTTTTTCCGGTGAAGACAGGTTGTCAGGGAGACAATAGGGAGCAGGAAAACCCCGGGCTCAGAGGACCTTTCCCCTTTCACACACACTTACCCAGAAGAGCCGGCTGGTCCTCACGTCATCACTGCAGATAATGGCGCGGGGGGGGGGGGGATCCAGTGTGTCTGTACTGCAGGGAGAATTTGTTATTCCCTCATGCCTGAATTCTTTCCTCCTCTACTGCCATGACTCCTTTCCGTGTGCACTTGAAACAGGATATGGTGGATTTTCTGCTTTTACTCCTTACATGGTTTACATTGTTCATCCACCACCAGGGGAATATGACCAATTCTGTCACAATCTGTAGTGGCTATATTTAAATGTTGCACTGGTGGGTGATTTTCCTGGTTTCTTTTACATCATGTGCAGACAGTGGTGGAAAATAACTAAGCACATTAACACAACTACTGTACTTGAGTACAATTTTAAGATACTTGTACATATATATCATAATGCAAATTCTTTAAAGAAATTGCCTCTAATCAACAATATTGATTGCCTTTTAATCAATTGCAACCAACCGACCACTGGCAGTCAGCCCCAGGGGAGTTGTCCTCTTTGCTAGTTGGTAATCCAGCCAAGCCCAAAAGTACATGTTAGTATAAAGGAGGTAAAATAAACTCTATACCAACCAACTTCAACATTAAAAACCTGCTCACATGTTAATGCAACAGTAATAATAATATGCATTATAGCACATTTCATGCTAAAATGAATAACTTTAAAAGATTGATTTGATTTCACAAAGATTGAATGTTGAAGCCACATATTAGCTTCAAGTTTTAAAAACATTTTCATACAGAACAAGGACTGTGGAGTAGAAGAACAATATATTTTAATGGCCAGTATGAACTGGAGGATTTATTACATCAATAAAAGCCAGTTTATAAGAAGAGGAAAAAGAAGACTATTGTTTTAAGAGTAAATGTATATTGCATGAGTCCTCTGAAATAATGAGGTGATGCCTGCTCACATCAATAGTCATGAGTATTCATATTGATCCTAGTACTGGTACACAAAAGAAGACTCACTATTGGTAATATTTGGTGATTTAGGGACCAATCCATTCATCCACACTCACTGATAATGGGCTTTTTAGTGAAGTAAGAGACACATTTTGTCCATTAGTAAATTTTTTGAAAAAGAAGAAAGTAAGAAAAAGAAAAGTATTTTATCCTTGATTTGAAATGAAGGAGAGGGAGTAGTTTTTTACTTTTAAGATTTTTAAACTAGGTTATCAAACTATTAAGTATCACAATATCTCTTAAAACATGTCTGGAGGGGGTATTTAAACTCTATGTAATCTTCTTGTCTCAGCAAACTACTTTTGATTATTTTGGCAGTGGTGCAGCTGGAGGCTGTAACTGTGACAGAGGTCGATGAGGGAGGAGGGAGGGGAGGCGAGGGCAGGGCCAGGATGGACTGGAAGTGTGCCTCAAGCATTTATAAACATGGCCCCTTTGCACACCTAAGGGTCATTGTTTATATCCATTCATACATGCCACTTCTGCCTGTATGTTTCTGGACCTTGACAGCAAGACAGAGCCGTAGAAGACAGAGAAATAAACATCTCACCGCTGTCCTTTCTTCCATTTCTGCTTGCCAGCGCTCACCTTGAAGCCTCAGCACCTGTTCTTCAGAGAGGATCACATCAGACGCGGAAACCTTGCGGATTTCAGCTAAACAATTCCTGTTAAGATCTTCCAAAACCAGCTGCCACCATTTCACCTCCAACAGCCATGTACAGCTCCAACTACTCCAGGGCCAAGTTTGGCCTGGAGGCAAGGCCCCTGCACAGGCCCAAGGGGAAAAGCTGTGGCTACTACATGAGGATCGTCTTCTTCTTTTCCTCCCTGATCCAGTCTCTTATTATCGTCAGCTTGGTGCTCTTCCTCATCTATGGAAAACCAGAGAAGTCTGCAGAGGAGAAGAGGGTCAAGGTCAGTGTGCTCTTCCAGTGTAATAACCTTAATTTATTATGACACATACTAAAGACCCCCCTTCAGACATGTTTTAAAACATGTACAAATTCTTGGCTATACTAATTTGTGTCTGATATAGTTTCTCCACAAAAAATGCTAAAAAATAACAACAATAATAAGAGTATCAATCATCACCAGCCTGTTTTGTTTCTGACAGAATATATTATAACTACGATTTTTTTATTAGCATATTACTATAATCTTTTAAATTTCGCAGCATTATGTTAACAAGTTCAGAGCTGTGAAATACAGAGATGATGATGCTGAGTGATCTGTTTTTCTAAAGGAGCTGGAGCTGGGCTTCAACAGGCTGAGTGAGACCAACATCCAGCTGAGAAAGGAGAAAGGCGATTTGGGAGCTCAGCTGGGAGCTCGCACAGCTGAGAAAGATGCTCTAGAGAAAGACATAGCAAAGCTGAAGACTGAAGCCAACAACACAGAACATGTGCTGAAAAATAAACTGGTAGGTAGATGACTTGATTAATATTTTGCTAAGATGTACTGAGATGTAGGTAATTGTAGGCAGCTGTTAAGTATTTTTTAATCATCTTTTCAAATTCTCAAATTCTTATTACAGAAAGACCAATTTAAGATTAGAAGAAATGTTTTTACAACGTGCACCTTCTACAAGATGATCATTTCCTTAAGCATTGTTATAGTTTTCCTATTTGAGTGGGGGAGGAAGTATTCAGATGTTTACTTTTTAAGTAAAAGTACTAATACCACTCTTTAAATATCGACCATTACAAGTATCTACATAATATTGATTATGTATATATTTATATATAACACTCTCATTGGAGAAGCTGGAACCATGGCATTGGCATTTATTACATAAAAAACGGAATTAGTTGAATAATTGTACATTGTTACACTCACTCACCACCACTATTGGTCACCATGGTATTACAATAGAACCCACAAATCATTTTTAATTTTTAATCATCCTGTTAATATCTATGTTTTTTGTTTTTAGGCTATCTGTGACAGAATGTCTACAACAACATTTCGGCGTCCCACCCCTCCGATCCAGTCTCCTTTTTTGGTCACTACCAGCAGTATGTACTATATTGAGGTTTTGTTTAAATATGGGGAAAAAATCATATTTTTCTGCATCATCAAATTAATACAGAAGAGGATTAGGGCCAAATGTGAACATTTTATTTTAATTCTGAGTTTAAAGTAAAAAAAAAAAAAAGTTAGAATTCTGATAATAAAGTCAGAATTCTGAGAATTCTGATGTCTGAGAATTCTGACTAACTCTGCTAATAACCCTTTATACATGGCTTATAATTTATAAGTTGTATTTTGTTAATAAATTATAGGACAGTAATAAGAACAACGTTTAGGTTATAAAAAAAATCTCTTTTGTTAAACTTGGTAGCTTATTAGAGAGAGAAACTTATGAGTCTTCTTAACGTCTAATAACTGATCTACAAAGCAGTATATTAGAAAGTGGAACCAGAATACTAATAAATACAGTGTTAATGAAAGTGTCTATTGAAGATTTTCCTGTGATGAAACTGTTTTTCACTGAACTCTCCAGGTGAATTAAAGACTTTGCAGAGCCTCAACGCCCAGCAGAAAGCCATGATAAATCTTATTCAGGCAAACTTCACCCAGACAGTTCTGTACATGAGCCAGGAGAGAGACAACGCCATCAAAGACAGAGACACACACCACCAGGATGCCATCACCCTGCGCAGGGAGAACACCATGCTAAAAGAGCAGCTCACCTCCTACACCAGGTACCTACCTGTTTGTAACATCTGTGTAACGGAAAATATTAAGATTAAACACATTAAACTTATTGTGTTTAATTTTTTATATTTTACCAGGAAGTGCAAAGAGGACTTTGCTAATTCTTTGGACGGGATCAAATCTGTGACCAGGGATTTCCTGAACAGGATCAACAACCTGTTTCCCCACCAGCTGACCTTCCACCTTACCTGTGACAGCCAGCAGGAGCAAATGGAGAAGATAAGAAACAGCTGCACAAACCTGTCCAGAGACGTGGAGAATAAGTTCCAACTGTATTTAGACAAAGTGGGCAACAAGGTGAGTGCAACAGATTTTCTTGAGTCTTCTAATTAGGACGTGTGTTTGGTATTAATAGGAACTAGAATAGACTTACTGTACATACAGACTTGTACACAGTGGTGGAAGAACAAGTCTACAACTAACAGTCCTGAATTCAAGTTCTACTTAGGTAAAAGGACTATGTATTATGAGCAAAATATACTATAAAGTATATTCTGCAGAAAAGCTGTCTATATAAGATAATTCTAATAAAGTAGGAGAGAAGAAAAAGTTATGCTATACGCATTTCTCTATTTTTTGTTAGATATTTTAGAGTTTTACCTCTTTAGGCTTCAAAAAGTTATTTAAATAAAATCTGGTCAGTTTAGAAGGAACTTCTAACAACTCAGACATCTAAAACATTATCCAATGTTTTTTTTTTAAAGTAAATTAGACTTAAACTCTGAAAAGTAACTGCTAAGCTGTCAGATAAATGTAATGGAGTATAAAGAACAATATGCCCTCCCAGATGTAGTGTAGTAGTAGCAAAGTAGCATAAAATGGAATAAAAATGGAAATTTTTTTACTCGAGTCGTGGACTCAATAAACTTTCCACCAATGTTTCTAAGGGTTACTCCCTTCTTGCCAACCCTCCTTTAAACTCTCCGTAACACTTATGGAATATTCCAAACCAACAAATTGGATGGGAAACCAGTTTCTCAGGGGAGGAAGTCTATCCGCTGCATCATTCATGATAAATCTAGCTAAAGAGACAGACGTCCTCTGAGGCGAACTCAGGGTCAAAGCAGAGGTGAAGTGTGTGTGTGTCTGCTGACTGTGCAGGACAACAAAAGCATACCCTCAGCAGATATCTTTGTTTTTACTCTGTAAAGTAGTATTTATTTCTAAACTCACTGAGCTTCCAAAAATCATAATTTTTCATCAGAGTCTATATTTATACAAAAAGAGTTGCTTTTGCAACCTTGCTCACAATTTTAACATATTTCAGGTAGTTTACTATGGAATTCTTTTATTACATTGCCCTTTAACTTTAACTAGTTTGCAGGAACACAAGCAAACTGACCGTTTTTTTAATGTTGAGTGTAACACGACCAAACCTGGCCTTTATTTCATCATGTGGCTACACTCCACTGATTCAGCTCCATATTTGGACTTTAACCTACGAGTTGTGTTCCTTCGGGAGACATTCAGTATAGATTTATTTCCTGCGTCAGCTGCAAAGCATGTACTCCATTGTGTCATTGAGGGAAATGTACATTGACAGATAGAAATAGACACATGGTAAACAAAAGCAGGTGTCTAAAGGCACCATCTGGGAACACATTTGGTACAGTCGAGCATGACACATTCTTCAGTCATGTTGCATTGTCTCTGAGTGACTCTCTACCTCTCATCATCATCATCGTCATCATGCACAAGTATAGGAAAGCAAATGTTAGATTTAAAAGGAAAAAGTGTAGCATTAAATGAGAAGTTTATCACATTTATTTAAAAAAATATATTTTCTTCTTCCAGGTGGCCGAGATCCAAGTCCTGTCCAGTCGGTTGGAGGTGCAAAACACACATTTGAACTCTGATCTGCAGCAGTGTCAACGCAGTCGCAGTGAGGCGATTGCTGATGCCGCCCAGCAGCTACAGCTCAAGCAAAAGACTCACGACGACCAGGTAGATTACATTTGTGCATAGATGATAGATGTGTGGGTGGGAAATTGGAACCAAAGGAGAGATCCATGGAACAACCCAATTTCCTCAGTCATGAAACCATGGCTGTAAAAATGACTGTTCATGATAATCTGTTTTAACAAGAACCTGAATCAAACTGTAACATAGGAAAGATGAAAGTGTAAACATTTAAAATAACATATGTAAATTTTCTTCAGGTGGAGAAATTACTGATTGAGCAGAACCGGCTGAGAGATCAGAAGAAGCTGCAGGAAGAAAATTTGGCCCTGAAAGAGAAAGAGCTTCAGAGCCTCCAGCAAATGCTCTCTGCTCAGCCCAATTTTAAGGTAAAATAAACACCAGCCAGAAATATGAATATGTATGTACAGAAATATAAAGGGAAATTAGGGAAAACAGTGTCCACAAATGGTATCAAACGTTCTCCATGCCAGTCAGGGGATTCAAACTGGCAACCAACTGGTTACAAATACCTTTTGTTTTAGGCTCCCAAAAGACCATGTGGTTGAATCTTTTGTATCTGGCTTTCTGGCACAAGAGTACCTACCATCCCCTTGCTTTTAAATAAGATTTATTTCGCTGATTTTATGGACAGCAGTGCAGAGGTAAGGTGGTGTGTTTGGACTGAGCAGAAAAGAGAAATCTGAGAGCAGCAGCAGCAGCAGCAGGAAGGATGGGCAGGCAAGATAACAAAGAAAAAAAAGAAGTCATAAGTTCATGATACACCCCATTTCAAACTCAAAAGCTGCACAAATGTGGTATCTGTGTTTAATTTTAAATAATACTGAAATCATTGTATTTGTTTTCCAGCCCGGTGTGCCTAAAGCAGCAGGAGTACCTGGCATCAGCAAAACGCCAACGGTAAACTTTATATTGACTAAACACCGTAATCAGATTACTGTTAATACAAAGTGTAATTACAGTAAGTGCCACAGTGTATAGAGCGAGAATATTTTGATATTAAAAGACTGATGAGCAAAAAAACCCCTCAAACTTTCATGTTTTACTAAAGTTGGCCCAGTATTAGTCTTCATTATGAAACAGTTTAAACAAGACTGAGAGCCAACAGCCATTGTGAGGCTGTTTCAAGGCATTTATATGGTGCACAGCTAATGTAAGCATGCTAACATGTTGATGTCAAGCAGGTGTAATGTGAACCATGATCACTATCATAGCTGAACATTTTATTAACTTTTGCTAAGTATCACAAAACACAAAGTACAGCTGAGGCTGATGGGAATCAGTTTTTGCAGGTATTTGGTTATAAACAAACATATTGGACAGTTTAAATGTTTGACCTGATGATGGCACCAGATGAAAAGTCAGTTGGATTCATTCTCTGACCATGAAAGCCTGTAGATTTCCTGCAGTCTTTGAGATATTTCAGTCTGAACTGACCGACATACGGACATTGCCAACCCTAGAGCCACTATTATGTTAGCATGGCTAAAAATAGCAAAAAACAGATAAAACTTCACTTCCCCAATGCTTATATTTGTGTGTCTGTTCCTCCTCAAATCAGTTCTGTTTGTCTTTTTTTCAAATATTTAATTCTGTAAACTGTATAAATGTTAATTTACAGTATTCAGATTTTTAGACAACGATGTCATCAATAATGAATTATAAGTATTTTTTTTTGTTTTCCAGGTGAGATGAAATGAACCAGCAGAATGACTGAAGGCACCAGTGGCGCTTGACAGCGATCAACATTGTGCCTGTAAAACAATTTAAATGACGTGTACATATTCCTGACACAACACACTTTAACACAACCTGTAAATACTCCATGTTAATGACATATTTACTGTTGTCAGTCTGTGCATGTTTTGTTTAGCTCTACTTGGAATAGATGATTAATATGTGTTTAACTTGTGTTTGAGTTTAAACATATGCTTTGAAAAGCCTTGGTATCTACCCAGGTAAATGTAAAAATTTTCATGACACTGGTGTAAATATTTTCTATTGTGTGTCACTCACTGTGGTTTTTGTCGTTGGCTTGTATTTACTGTGGAATTCAAATTAAATTAACCAAAAACTGACTCACTACTTATCCTCGGTCTCTTTTGTCTCTCTGGCACAAAACAACACAACAAAGACTCAGACAGGACATTTATGTTTACTAGTGATTCACACAATTTCTACCGCAGTCCCGATGTCAATACATTCAACAACCACGCCATAAACATGCCATCACATGGCTAAACGTTTAGACTATAAATCTATTAATTGCCATTTTATGGTGCATTTTACAAGTACAGTAGCTGTTGTATGAGTTATATTGTCAATCTTTACTACTTCCTCTTCCTTCCATAAGCACAGGGCGATGAGCACATATAGTACTTAGGCTGGAAACAGCTGGTGTGTTGTTTTTTTACGATTATTTTGGTTTTAGATTGGTACTGAACAAGAGACTGAAGTAAAAAAAAAACAAGTACCATTTTATGTCTAAGAATGTACTCATGTTTAAGATGTAAGTTTATATGGTGTAAATTGCTTTTGTAATCTGACTGGAGGACTGCCGTGTTACCACTAATTATGTAAAAACTATACTTTGTAAAGCAACAGAATATAATAATATAATATTCAATTAGTAACAGTGTCTGAGGGTAAAGTATGCAGATATTCAGGTTTAGGAGACCTATTACGATATAAATATATCTATCTTCTGGACTTTTACAACATTAAAATAATGATATTTTGGTCATCACCTTTCCTTATTTCTTCTTTAAAGAACATATTTATATACACAAATGTACTTACTACTCATGATTTTCCACAAGCTGACATTTAAAACCAAATACTCTCTTTTTGTAGTTCCTACAAATTCTTTCTGGCATGAATGTGACGTGAACGTAAGGGCTTTAATATTGTTTAGTTTCTCAGAGTTTGGTATTTTTGAGAAGCTTTAATCGGAAATGGAAAAATTACATTTAGACAAAACAAATATTTAAACGGTTCCTTCCATGTTACATAAGAAAACCAATGAAGATAAACTTCCAGCTTCACTGCACTGATGGATGTGAGTGTTACAGGTGAGTGAGTCTGCCTCCTGTCCTCAGGAAATCCTTTGTTTAACATGAAGTATTTTCGATCCCATGTATAGACCTGAACACACTCGCACACAGCCTGACTTTAAGTCAGATGGGTACAGGGTGGAACTGGCTGTACTGGAACCCGCCTACGTCAACCTCCCATCTCAGGACAGCCATTAATCAAAAGCACAGGAAACTGACAAACAGCTGAAGGTGCCACTTTGCGTTCCCTCTGTGCTGCTTAGGACCACTGCCCTTGGGGGCTTAGAGATGAAAGACCTTTTTCACAGCAGCCATTTTGACATAAAATAGTAAACACGTGTTACAAAATACACTAATTAAGGTTCAGTTCCATTCTGGCCAAACAGATTCAGAGTTCTGCTATTGTGCAAGTTAGCTTACTGGAAAGGCTCTGCTACACTAAATGGAACAGAGCCTTAATTAGTGTCATTGGTAGCACCTGTGTTTTCCCTACTATTTAATGCTAAAATGGCTGCTGTGAAAAAGGTCTACTTACCTCTATAATAACCTTCCTGATTGGAGTAAGTGACTCCAGGTGCCAGTTCAGAGCCAACAGACCTCTCCAGTCTTGCCTCCCTATTGAGTTAGTGTTAATGTGAGTTTCCTTCTTCTCAGTATATTGTTTAAATTATGTGTGCGACCATATGTTTCATTACATTTGTATAAAAAACATGATTTACTGTATTGATTATTGATTTCTGCATTTGTTTCTTCGACTTTACTGCAGAAAACCATGAGCTGAATGGAGGAAATACATGGACAAATAAATTGCATTTCCCTGTCGAGAGCTATTTTATTTCTAAGCAGCAAACTATTCCTTTATCTACACCGGCACATGCATTGGAGAAAATCTACTTTACTGTTCATTAGTCAGCCATGAGCCAAATCATGGCACAAAAGGTAATGTATTCACTTAAAAGACATAAACTTATGAATTATTATGTATTATGTATGTATTATTATGTACAGTGAATTATTATTCACTGTACTGTAATATTTACTGCTATTATTAAGTTTGTTTATTCAGTGTCATTCCATTTGACCATGCTAGTGGCAAACTTTAGACAATCTCAGACTGTCTGTTCGCTACTTTGGTCCAGACTGAAATATCTCAACAACTATTAAATTGATTGCCATGAAAGACATTCATCTTCTCTAGAGGATAAAACCTATTGACTTTGGTGATCCTCAGGCTTTAGCGCAAACTTGAGGTTGACATTTGTGATTTTTAGTGGAAGGTTTTGACAGCCAGTGCATGGATTGCCATGTACTTTGGCACGAACTTTGGCACAGATATCCATGTTCCCCCGAGGATGAATCCTAATGTTTTTTGTGATTGAAAGGTCATATATGAATAAACTTGTGTTGCCTTAGGACTTATAGTAACATTCTGTAGGACTACTTTCAACTGATAAACTTGTTTCTTAAATCACATTTGAGACCAGTAATAATCTGTACAACCATATGCTTATTATTGGCCCCAAGATAAAAAATAAGACCCCATTCATTTAAGATAAAACTCTACTTCTGTATTGATTTAAATCTGAAACTTCAAAGAATCGAGCCTTAATACTTCAATGGAAATATATTCGTAGCACCAAGTATCGATAATGGTCAAATATTGAAAGCTAGCACAGAATATCTGATATCCAATGGTTATAGATTTAAATAATCTTACTGTCAATTATTAAATATTCTAATTAGAGAACTTGGCTACTTGTGTTAAGATACTTTTTTAAAAGTCTGAAGAAAAGTCTGGGGATCACATTAGAATACTGCAACGTCTGTACAAAACATAGTAAATGTAGCCATACTTCACTGGATAAGTGAAGGTTTGACCTGCTGGTGGCACTAGAGGAAATGTCACCAAAGTATATAATGTAGGGTCAATTTTATGGTGATCCATGTCATATTCAATTCAGTTCAATTCAAAATACTTTATTCGTCCCTCAAGGGCCAATTTAGTGATAAATAAAGTATTCTGAATCCAAGTGAATATTATACAGATTGCCATGAAATGTGCACTCCATTAAAATATTGAGATATCTCAGTCTGGACAAAAGTGTTATGTCTTTTTTTTGCTATTGGCAATTACTATCCAACACATTTGACAATTGTGGTAAACATGATCCAAAGGTTATCACATACAGCTGTACTTCAAAGACGAACCAGGGCCCAAAATTTACTGCCTGTAAATTGTATGACAGTCCCACTTTTAGCTTAAACTTCCCCTGTGTTGTAATTACTCAGGGAGAACATGAAAGAGGACAAAAAGGCTGACAGAGCAGCACGGAAAGAGGAAAGGTCAGGCAGCAGAGACGGAGAGAGACAAAAAGGCAGCGAGAGAGAGAGAAACAGGCAGTTATGCTGGTGTAAAGCAGTGCAAATGTCGTCAGAGACTGGGAGAGAAGAAACCAACTGGGGAAGAAGGGTGAGGAGTTCAACAAGGAAACATAAATATTTGATCGAGGCCAGATTGACAGGGGAACAAAAGGCACAGAGAACATCGCCTCAAAAACGTCCCTTTCCCACAGAGCAGAGGGGAGCTGGGTCACTCTGACTTTCTTTACATACTGTATGTCTATTATGTTTTGCTTTATGGTGGGATCTCGACTAAAAATCTAGTTCACAATGGAATAAATCAGAGGCTATACAGTATACGAGCTAAATGTGATGATGACATTTACTGCAATCTTTGTAAGACCAGGTAATATTTTATGTTTAATGTGATGAGGGTATGAATATGTGAAGTGCATCATGCATGTGACAACATTAAACAGTAGGTTTACATCTTACAGTAAGAAGCTGATGCAGCTTTAAACATGTAATGACATGCAAAAATCTATTCTAATTTAAAGTAAAATTATGAGTACTTTTTCTTTTGGTACGTATGTTTTCTACACTGTTGTGTACTTCTTCCACCTCTGACTTGCTATTAATATGTATGTGCTGGTAGTGAGAATTATCACCGACTCTGTAGCTCTACATAGCACTTTATCGCCTTTCAGCTCATCATTTCTGTGTTTACGGCCAACAGCGTAAATGTTTTGGTTTACTTTCTATGCTTTTTGATTTCTCCCTATGCAAACTGCACAGCACCAACTGTAAACAGATAAAGTTTAGCAACCAGCTGGGGAACATTCAGTAGTGGCACATTTAGCAGCTAAAGAGCCAAAGACACTTCCTTAGGGAGTTGGTAGAGACAAAAACTTACATTTGTGTTAAAACACGATGCAAACATTGCTCGGTTGGATGTGTAAATAGGCAACTAATACAACTAAAACACATCTACTAACAACTATTAGAAGATAACACGTTAATATTGTGTTTACAGCTTGTTGCACTGCCCCCTTGTTGTAAAAAGAGAGATACATTTGATTTGATACAAAAACACTCATCATCCCATTTATTCAACATCAAATATCCCATGTGACATGTATTAATTATGTATAAAATAAATGTCTTCATTTTAAATATTCATGTGGACAATTCACACGTGAACACAGGTACATTGTTTGCTAATTAAATTAATGTGACAGCCAAGGATTTTGAGTTACCCTAAAAAGTTTCAGGTGTCAATGTGTGAATTTCCACTAAACACACACACACACACACAAAGGAGTAGAGCTGAAATGATACCAAAAATAATATCCTTCATTGTCCTGCAGTACAAGTAAACATCTAGACTTGTCCATGACCTTGCAGATGTCTGCAGCTGGCTATATTTTAAATGATCTTGGCTGTTATGTTGCGACCCAAGAGCCCTATATTCACCTATCAAAGGCTTTCAAAACTATTTTTAAAATTACGACTCAAGAATTTGCCGAACACTTGTCCAGCATATTGGGCCTCTGAGGCACCCATCATCACGCTAAAACTATTTTAGTCTGTTGAAAAGCATCAACAGAAAACAAACATTTTGTCTTGGGATAGTGATCCTGCAGCCAAGAACATGAATTTCATTCTTTTTTCCCTCGCTGTGCCTCGAAGCCTGGCGCAGTGCCGAGGCTGTAGCTTTACTGATACTCTGGGACCAAACAAGAATGCAGCCTTCCTCTCTGAGCAGGCTAATGTTACATGTATTTTATGTTTTCGCTGCTACTCATCCAACTATTTCCCAATGCAGAAGTCTTTGAAGATGATATCCAGGATCTCCTCTGCCCCGACCCGTCCAGTAATCCGGCCCAGGCTGGTGAGAGCCAACCGGACACCCTCAGCTGCCAGGGCCAGGTCGATGTCGCGGTACCGCTGGTACTGAGCCAGGGCCGCAAAACACTGCTGCAGGTGGGCCCTGTGGCGGGCCTGGGTCAGGGTGGGGGCACCAGACAGAGGGTCGCCACACCTAAAGAGGAAGTTAGAGAACAAAATGAACCAGAGCGTTAAAAAACTCATTATTTTGTGCTTCATTTTGTATTTTTGGTCAAGAAAGGGTGAAAACCAGACCCAAAAAGCAAACATAGAATTCAGTTGCAGCACCAACATTATGCATTTTAATTTAATTTAATTTAAAGCCCCTTAGAGTAGGGTTTGAAAAGTTCAGACTTTGCTGACATGCTGACCTGATCAATCTTTCTAATGTAACATTTAAATAAGACATGTTGTTTTAGCTCCTACACAACGAAACATTATAAACTGTTGCAACTCACAGAGTCTTGACACGGCTGTGCAGCACTGTGAGGAAGTCCTGCAGTCCTTCATTATTGTGGCAAGAGATAAGACAAAAAGGAGGGAGTCCAGAGACCTGTCTCAGCTCCCCGTCCAGCTTCTGCCTCTGCTCCTGAGGCAACAGGTCAGTTTTATTCAGCACTAGGAGAAACCTGTTTGCAGGAAATACTGTGGTAGGAAAGGAGGGCAGAAAAAATTAATCAATACCAGTGACTCAACTATTACTCCCTCAGGCCCAGAGATTTCTATTTGATTACTCTTGATGACTTAAAAAAACTCTCTTTCCAGCCTGCACACTCTGGATTACTGCTTAATTTATCCCTAGGGTAAGTAGTACTTGAATTACTCCCCAAGCCGTTTAATAATGCAGGATGGAGCTGTAAGTGAGCAACTGGTGTCACAATAAATTGCATCCTTGAGCTAACAAGCTAACTCAGCATTTTAATTTCAAGTCTTATGTAATACCACTTTTCAAAGCTGTTTAAAGGAAAAAACGTGACTCACTCACTAATTTTACCGCATCTTTACAATGTGTATTTACTTTATTGTGCTTTTAAAATACAGCTGCAAGTATCAGTTACAATCCAGGTGAAGCGGTGAGCAGATGAGGGCTAGATATCATACCCGTCTCAGGCTGCTCCTGGCTGGGCAGGACACTCCTGAGGTGCTCCTGAAGGAAGGCTGCAGCTTGCTGTGCATCAGAGGGGAGATTAGTACAGTCCACAACCACCAGAGTCAGATCTGCCTGCTCCACTCTAGAATATAAAAAGAAATCAACCTCAACCTTTAACCAGGAATTATTCATATAATCACAGCTTGTTTGTTAGTATATTCATGTTTTAGCCACACTAACGGTCTGGCTCTGAGGATGGTAATATTGGTTGTTTGGCTGGTCCACCACTGTGGTCCGGACTGAAATATCTCAACAACTATTGGATGGGTTGCCATTAAATTTGATACACACATTCATGTTATAACTTTGGTAGTCAAGTGATCATCAAGTCAACATTTTTATTTGTCTAATACCAAATACCAAACGGCTATAATGACATTTCGATCAGCCTTAGCTATACTTTGTTTTAACTGCTAATTAGAAAACATCAGCATGCTAACCTGTTAAACTAATACAGTGAACAAGGTAATGTTGCATGCCGACGTTAGCATTGAGCTTTAAGCACTTGTTGTGCCTTCAGCCTATCAGAGCTGTTATCACGGCTGTAGGCATGGTAACTACGTAAATCGTAGGTACTCTGTAAGTACTCGCACTGGCCCCACAGTGAGGTAGCAGCAGCAGCAGCAGCGGATGCTTGTACTTACCATATCCTTCCTGTAGTGACCCAGGTCACGAGCCTCTGACCTGCTCCCTGCACAGAAAGTTCCCTACTGAACACAAACTGGCCACCCTTCCTACAGAGCCACCAGGTCCCCCAAATAACTTAAACAAACAGTAAAAATTACATAATTGCACTAAAATTTTATTTTTGTAATCACACTTTTGTTATTTATCAGATTTTTCCTGCAGAATGAGTCTTCAAACTATTACAAGTCATGATGCAGCGAGTCTCCTTGCATGTTCTACCACATATACTTTCATGGTTTACGTCGCAATATAAATGTAGTGATTCAATTGTAATAAAAGGGAATTTTGTTTATAAGAGTACAGTCTCGCACAGCTCTATGAATTGAATTAATTGCTGTGTCAAATGCTTTATTCCCTTGCCAAGAAGAAGTACTTGGGGGAACAATTAACATTTGTTTTCTGGCATGAAAATTGTCATATTTTATAGCGATTATTTGCTGAAGTTCTGTCAAGCTGAAGTCAACTGTCAGGCAAGGCAAGACATTTCTTTTACTTTAACCTGTTATTTCTTTAAGCTGTTGAATATCCTTTCACACTATAATACAACACACAAAGTACAAAGACTGGAAACTTTGCTTAACCTATAAATCAATGAATAATCAATGTGGGGTAGTGTTTTTAGGCCCATCCCACTTCCCCCTGCTCTCTAGCACCAAACTCATGTGATAAAACATGTCACTGTACATGTGTATGAAAGCTTATTAATAAAATGTGTGTGCTGCTGTGTCCATTAGTCTTATTGTCTGTTTGGATATGATAAAGTAGTGATGGCGGGCGCTACAAGTACTGCTATTCTTCCCTGATGTAAACAGTGGAAGCAGCTGTCAGTGAATGGCCATATATGTCCATTCCCAACACCACACATGAAGAATGTCTTAATACTAAATAGTCGCGGGAAAGAAGGCTCTTCATTACGCAACCTCCTGAGAGTGTTTGTCCCATGTATTTATAACTATGGCTCAGCAATAATGTAAACTCTGGAGCTTATATAGACATTACAAAAATATATCAGGTCTGGAGGGGAAAAGCAATGACTTATTTCTTCCCTTCTTTGTTTTCAAGGACTTATTCCATTGGTCCCCTGTCTAATTTGTTCTGTGTTATATTATCACACATGAGAACTGTCGCTGAAGCAGCATCTACGCGTACTACTGCGCATATACTCCACATGTACTACTACCCAGCAGCTGAAGCCAATCTCTCCAAATACCAGCATTAATTTCTCTTTTTTTGTCTGCCTAATTAGAATTTTAAAAGCAGGAAAACTGAGCTAATATTAAATATTTTAAATAAAAAGGGCTTCATCCACCTACCTTTCTCGAGCACGGCGGACTCCTTCTTTCTCCACCAGGTCGGGGCTCTCTCTGAGGCCGGCTGTGTCACTCAAGAGGACAGGGAATCCGCCAATGTCCAGTGCCGTCTCTACTACGTCTCTGGTGGTGCCAGCAATGGGAGACACAATGGCTGCAGGTCTCTGGCCTGGATGTTAAAAGGTTAAAGGATAATGTTGAAATTATTCTGTGACAATATCAAAACCAACAATGCGTGTTGACTCTGTGTGCCCCAAACCCATTTGTTTCTACTGAAGACATATATTTTAAAGAAACGTGTCTATAAGTGTATATACTTTCACTCATTTTTACCTCAATTTTTATCTAAAAAATGGGAATGAGAATAAGCTGTGAACTGTGTAGGAGAAACAACAGGCCCTATTTACAGCCTGTGTTAGGTTTGTCCCTTCTGGGCTACAGTAGAAACATGGCGGTTCAACATGGCAGACTCCATGGAAGGCGACTTGTGGCGTCTGAACAAACAGTTAATTCCAAGGTAACAACAATTCCTTTATTCAGGTGATTATAAACAAATGAAAACATAACTATGAATATTATATTGATAATCAAATATTGGCCTATAATATCAACAATTTGACACATCAGCTCTTTTTATCCGTCTCTTATTGAAAACTCTAAAGTTCTGAACTGTCCCAACACAACAGAAGATATTTTCAGTTTTTTTTTTCTTTATTCAGGAGCTTTGTGGTCTGACCATCCCCCGCATATCCCACGTCAAATAAAGCTGCCAGCTCATTATTACCTGTCTATGCTCACTGGGTGTGAGCCCAGGGCACAGGGATGACTAATCAGAACAGGAAAGGGTAACAGGATCCAGTCTGAAGTTGGATACATCGCCTATTATTCTGATAGGAAGCTGTGAGGAGACCCTGCCAAGCCTCTTCTCTAGGTAGTTTATATAAGTGATTTTAAATGAGTCAAGGATACAATATCCTGAACAAACGTACAACTGTACTGCATAAACAACAAAAGGTTTCATTGCGTTACACCAAAAGCGGATACACAACTGAAGAACTGATTTCTAATGACAAAATTGAACAGCTACAGTTTTAATTTCACATGGATAATAGAGTGTTTACGTTTATATATTTGGTTCTTTATTAGCATTGCTACACAACCAGTTGTAATTTGTTACTGACTGTGATGCAATAAAGTCTGTATCAGGAAAAATCCATTAGCCAAGAGGAGGATCTAATGTTTACAGATGGTGTGAGATGTGGTAATTATTAGATTGCATTCAGGCACTATTAAAAGAGAGATTTCATCACAACATCAATTCCATGACAACAATGCAAACTTGCTGAGGAAGATTGTGTGATTTGACTGAAAACTCCAGAACAGCTGCCAATTGAGAGAGAGATTGTTTTGTCTTTTACTACATTCTTTGAATCTTTTAGTAGATTCTGAAAAAAGGAGAATGTCTTCTAATGTGGAAGGTCACTTATATAACGCCGACCCCAGTATCTACTTTGATGCTGCTGTATTTCAAAGTCAGACTGCTACTTGTTTCTGTACAAAATCCTGTCTTGTCAAGGAAACATATTTCTCTTCACTTTCAGCGCATGGAGGACAGTATTTGCATTTTAATGAATAATACACATAATCACAAAATTTTGTGAGTCCATGCTGCTTATGGTATGACAGATGTTGCCTTTTTCCCCGCCCAAACCACAGCTGACAGCGGTATGATTCAACAGTAAGGTCTGTATTTAGAAGATAGTAAGTCACATTTTAATGTTAATCTCTTCACGATGTGTGTGTGTGTGTGTGTGTGTGTGTGTGTGTGTGTTCTGGTTTACTTAGTTCTCTTAC